CTTTGCAGCTGCCTATTCCATGAAAGCAAGGAAGACGGACAATTAGGGGCTGGTAAACTATAGCCCAAAAGCCAAATCTGGCCCACTGCCTGTTCTTAAATGGCCCCCATGTGCTAAGGATGGAAAGCTTTCAGCCACATAAAAAAACAGGCAGCAGGCCAGATACGGCTTTCAAGCCATAGTTTGCTGACCTCTAAAATCAAATATAAACCCCTCTGTTTAGCATTTAAAGCTCTTCAAAACCTGGTCCCTTCCTACTTTTTCTGTCTTCTTAGTGTGCTAGGTGGCACAATGGATAGAGCATGGGACTTGGAATTAGGAAGATGTGAATTTGAATCCTAACTCAAACACTTATTAGCTCTGTGACCCTAAGCAAGTTACTTAACCTGTCTGTGCCTCGGTTTCCTCATCTGTAAAATGGGTATAAAAAAGCAACTACAGGGTTGTTGTGAGAATCAAATGTGATAACATATGTAAAGTGCTATGTAAACCTTAAAGTATTCTATAAATGCTAGCTATTTTTATCTTTTTAATTTTTTATTAATTTGTTTCGATTTATCAATAATCACTTCCAAGAATCTTAAGACCCGGAGCCAAGATGGCAGAGTAAAAAGGTAGTTGCTCTCACTCCCCTATCAACCTCTGAAAACCCAGAAAATATCACCCCAGAAAAAAACACTGGAACACCTGAACTAGAAGACAGGGAGTAGCAGTGCAGCAGCCCCGCAAACGGGTCTCCCAGTGCCTCAGCAAAAATAAGGGAAGCACCACTACAAAAGGCTCCAGGTGGATAAGTACCCTGCAGCATTCATCTGAAAAGAGCTGAAGAAAGCAACCTAAAGTCTTCCTAAAGTCCGAGCCTTGCTGATTCCAGCCCAACAGCAGGTAAGCTGTCAGAACCTCCAACTGTCAACCAGGAAGAGATCCTGAAGCCCAGGTGACAGAGCAGGCAAACACCAACACCTGGACCTCTGAGTGCCTCAGTGAGGGTAGGGAAACTGGTGGAGGCCAGCTCAGAAAACCACCAGGTGCCTCAGCACTCTACCTCAAAGCAATCTCCCACTGCATTAGCAGAAATGAGAGAGACAGCACTGCAAGGGGCCCCAGGCAGATAAACACCCTGCAGCACACATCTAAAAGGAGCTGAAGAAAGCTAAAGGAAAGGAAAAGCAGGCAACCTAGAATTGCCTGAAAGTTCCAGCCTTGCTGATTCCAGCCTAAACACCAGGTAAGCTGCCAGAAACCTACAGCCTCCAATTGCCAGCATAAGAGGCCCCAGCACACAAAGCCAGTGACCAAGACCTAGGCTCCCAACACAAGAAGCTTGGGTCAGTGCCCTCTGTTCCCCAGCAGAAGAGCTCAATCTCTTTAAAGGCCAGGGAATAAAGAAACACCATGAGTAAAAAGAAACGTACCATAGATTCATATTATGAGAAGAGTGAAGATCAAGACAGAAATTCTGAAGAGGACAACATTGTCAACAAACCCACATCTGCAACATCAAAAGGGAATATGAACTGGTCTGAAGCCCAAAAAGCCTTCTTAGAAGAGCTCAAGAAGGATTTTAAAAGTCTAATGAGAGAGGTAGAAGAGTCCTTAAAAATACAATCGGCAAACTGGAAAAAAAGTACACTGAAGAAAACAAATCCCTTAAAAACACAATTGGCCAATTGAAGAAGGAAGTGCAAAAACTAACAGAATAAAACAATCAGTTAAAAACTAGAATTGGACAAATGGAAACTAATGACTCTATGAGAGAGCAAGAATCAGTCAAACAGAAACAAAAAAATGAAAAAATGGATGAAAACATAAAATACCTCATCGGTAAAACAACCAACCTGGAAAATCGATCCAGGAGAGACAATTTAAAAATCATTGGACTACCTGAAAATCATGATAAAAAAAAAGAGCCTGGACAGTATCTTCCAGGAAATCATAAAGGAAAACTGCCCTGAAGTCCTAAAACCAGAAGGTAAAATAACCATAGAAAGAATATACCGCTTACCACCTGAAAGAGATCCCAAATTGACAATACCAAGGAATATAATAGCAAAATTCCAAAATTACCAGATGAAAGAAGGTGCTGCAAGCAGCCAGAAAGAAACAATTTAAATATCATGGAACCACAGTCAGGATTACACAGGACCTTGCAGCTTCTACATTAAAAGACCACAGGGCATGGAACATGATATTCCGTAAGGCAAAGGATCTTGGATTGCAGCCAAGGATCGACTACCCTGCAAAAATGAGCATGATTCTTCAAGGGAGGAGATGGATATTCAACGAAATAGAAGACTTCCAAACCTTCCTCATAAAAAGACCAGAGCTCAACAAAAAAATTGAACTTCAAGTACAAGATTCAAGAAAGACATAAACAGGTAAATGGGACAGAAAGATACAAAATGTTGTTAATAAGGGCGGACTGTTTACATCCCTACAAGGGAAGATGACACTTGCAACTATTGAGAACTGTATTGTTATTATACCATGTTAAAGGAGTATACATAAAGGGGGTGGATGTTAGTTGACTTTGATGTAATGATAAAAAAAAATCTAATCAAATGGGTTAAATAGATCCACTAAGTGGATTAGTCTGATCTTAGAAAATGTACTGAGAAAGGAGGAGGCAGACAAGGGTAAATTACATTACAGGAAAAGACAGAAAATCCTATTATAGCAGAGGGAAAGTGGGGGGGGGTGAGTATTGTTTGAACCTTACTCTCATCAGATTTGGCTAAAGAAAAGAATAACATAATCAGTTAGGTATGGAAATCTAACTTGCCCTATGGGCAGTAGGAGGCAAAGGGGAAGGAGGGGAGGGGGATAATAGAAGGGAGGAGAGACTGAAGGAGGCTGTGGTCAAAAGCAAAGTACTGGTGAGGGGGGGAAAGGGAGAGAGGAGAAAGAAAACCATAAATGGGGAAAAAAGGGTGGAGAAAAAGACACAGATAGTAATCATAACTATGAAAGTTGAATTGCTATCTTTTTTTTTTCTTTTCTGTTGAGTTTTGTTTCCTCTTTCTGATGGTTCCTCCTATTGGTTTTAATTTTTACTTACAACTTCACTAATATGAAAATATGTTTAATAGGAATGTGAATGTATAGCCTATATCACATTGTTCACCGTCTTGGGGACATCTTTTTTTTTGCATATTTTATTAATTTATTTTGATTTTTCAACAATCACTTTCATATGCTTTTGAGTTTAAAATTTTTCTCTCCCTTCCTCCCTACCACCCTCCCCAAGATGGCACACAATCTGATATAGGCCATACATTTACATTCCTATTAAACATATTTTCACATTAGTGAAGTTGTAAGTAAAAATTAAAACCAATAGGAGGAACCACCAGAAAGAGGAAACAAAACTCAACAGAAGAAAAAAAATAGCAAATAGTATGCTTCGATCTGCATTCAAACTCCATAGTTCTTTCTTTGGATATGGATAGCATTTTCTATCAGAAGGCTTTTGGAGATGTCTTAGATCCTTGTATTGCTGGGAAGGATTAAGTTTATCAATATTAGTTATCGCAGAACGTAGCTGTCATCGTGTGCAATGTTCTCTTGGTTCTGCTTACTTCACTCTGCATCAGACCATGCCAGTCTTTCCAGGTTTTTGTGAAGTCAGCCTGTTCATCATTTCTTATAGCACAATAGTATTCCATTACATTTATATACCACAACTTGCTCAGCCATTCCCCAATTGATTGGCATCCTCTCAATTTCCAATTCTTTGCCACCACAAAAAGAGCTGCTATGAATATTTTTGTACATGTGGGTCCTTTTCCTATTTGTATGATCTCTTTGGGATACAGCTATTTTTAATTTTAACACATTACTCCCCTCTACTACAGGCCAGTCATACTGGCCTACTTTCTGTTCCAAACATAGTCTCCTATCTCCTTGCCTTTACAAGAAATGTACTGCCCTCTCATCTCTACTTCTTGGAATTCCTGGTATCCTTCAAGGCTCAGCTCAAGAGATGAAAGCTTAAGGCTTACATACATACACACACCCATGCAGTTGCTAGTATTCTCCTTTCCTAAAATACCTTGTATTAATTTTGTATATAATCTATACATGCTTATAATATGTGTATATGTTGTTGCCATCATTGGGATGTAAGCTCCATGAGGTATGTTTTACTTTTATCTTTGTGGCCAAATTGCTTAACATAATGCTTGGCACATAGTAAGTGATTAATAAATTCTTATCAGCTGATTGATTTAGAGCATGGATTCTTGACTTTTTTGTGCCCAAAGCTTAGCACAATACCTGACACATAAGGGACACTTAATAAATGTTTATTGATTGACTGATTGATTATAACTCCCTTGGCAACATAGTGAAGCCAACGAACTACTGCTCAGAATGTTTTAAAATGCATAAAATAAAATACATAACATCAAGAAGGAAACCAGTTATGTTAAAAACAAAAAAAAGACCGTTATCAAAATATTTTAAAAATAAGTTGATGGATGCCAGATTAAGAACTCCTGATTTTAAAAGTTCCCTTTTTTTCCTCATTCAAATCATGAATTTTGTGTCATTGAGAATTTGTTCTTGAGAATTTGGGGTCCAGCTGCAGAATTTTAGTCCATGAGAGTCTACCTATCCTTTCTCCAAATTTTTTAAAATCTATTCTTCCAAATCCACAATACATGCCATATCAAGCCTACATTTCCTCTTTAACACCAACTATTCAAGAGGGTACTGCCCAAGTTTTCTGTTATTTCTACATAAGCAGTTCTTGTTTATAGGTCAAAAATAGGTCCAGAATAGTTCTTCCCTTTCTGGCTTCCCCAACCGAAGCTCTTATAGTCAGTGGCTTGTCTACAATATTGAGTTTTCTGTTCAAGGGTCCATCATGAGTGCCAACCTAAATGATTAAGATCTATAATCTCACAGATGGACTTTTTTTTAATACACTTGAGACTAATTGCTCTGTGTTCCTAAGTGAAAGTATTACTGCCCGAATCAAAAACATGTCAATTACTCACCTTTAGTCACACATTTTTTACAGAAAATATGGCCACAGCTGGTTACAAAGAAATGGGTGCCATCTTTTCGGAAGCATTGATTACAGTGAAACCAATCCATCCTGGAATACAAGTTCAGAAAAGATATCAAAAATTAAAAGTCTAATTGCACAGAACATTGTGGTAGGTGATGGGGAAAACAGAAATTTTAGAAAAAAGTCCTTAAGGAACTTACAGTTTAATAGGGAGATAAAGCACTAATACAGGTACCCATTTTACACAGTATCACCTATGCATATTAGAAAAGTATAAAAGAAAGCCCTATGTGAGGTATGAAGGAAAAGTTCATTAAATAGAGGATGAAGCAAACCTTCCTGGAAAAGGTAGCTTCAAAGCTGAGATTTACATAATATGTAAGAATCAACAGGCAAACAGAAAGAGGGCTTCTAGGTATAGGAAATAGCCTTAGCCTGAAGTCACCAATAGCTCAGCTTGTTTAGTGAAAAGAGAATTGGGTAGTTTGGTTGGAATATAGATTGCATAATGTAAAGTAAAGGTGAGGTTGCAAAGGCAGAGAAGCTGAGCTTTGGACAGTCTTTAAACACTGAGAAAATGTGAGAACATCCAAAGTGCTAGGGTGTGACCTGCACAGGCAGAGCTGTCATTAGGGTTGATCCAAATGCCTAACAATTTTTACTGGTCCCTTTCATCTCTCAGGCCTATGTTGGTTAATGTCAAAACCTTATTAGCAAATAGGTAACAAAACAGAATAGGGTGGGTCTTTCCCTCACCTAGCCCTATAACTATATTGGCAGAATTAAAAAAGTAAATTATGAGAAACCTCTCATAAAATAACCAAAAATGGAACTTTTGTTTTTTGGTAAAGTGGTTTGGCTTCTCACTGAAAATTAACTTCCTAAATAGAGGCATTAGTCCTAAAGTGGAGGCAGCTGCCTTAACTTCCCAGAAATACAAAACCAGGGTAGGTTACAAGTTTTGAGGCTCCAGGTGGGCCCAAGGGTAAAAAAAGTAGGGGCCCATTTTCAAAGGTGGGGCATCTTCAGCAATGTCCGTGGTCATCTAAGGTAGGAGGCTTGGAACGATTGCCCCCTACCTGAAGGATCTGGCTTGTGAGGCGATGGGGGACGCCCTTTTCCCTCAACGGGCACTGGCAACCACCCCGAGGCCCGAAAAGGCGGGAAAAACTAGGCTAGCGGAGCCAGAAGTGCGAGAGTCTGCAGAGTCTTCGAAGCAGACTAAGGAGAGAGGGAAGGAAGAGGAAGTGAAAGTGCGCATGTGCCCAATGAGGGGCCGGGGAACCCCGTGGCTCCGCCCTCTTGTCCTCCCCTCCAATGAAGCGCTGGCCAGTTTCCCTAGCTGTCATACACTTCACGGCCTTCCCCCCGCCCTCTGCTGGCGATGACGTCAGCCCAGGGATTCAAAGGTGCTGAGAGTGTCTTCTGTGCTCAGTCCCCAGGGCATTTTTTTTCTCCTAGTTCGGTGCAGGAACCGCCTCGAACCTGCTGGATTGTTAAATTGTCGGTGTGAGCATTTACATCCGGGAAATCCACAAACGATATAAAATAGAGTTAGATTTATTTGTTTTGTTGGTTGCCTCGATTTAAGAAGGTGATGGCGAAAATGGTAAATTTTAAAGTGTGGCCGGCATTTTGGAGAGCCATCTGTTAAACATTTACCAGCACACCTCTTATATGGCGACAAAGGGAGTCATACGGTGTTATAATTAGAAGGGTCTCTGGGAATCGTACAGCTCTTATTTTAGAGATCAAAGAACAAGCCCTTGTCTGTGAGGTTGCTTGGAAAACTGGGATTAGAATCCAGGCATCCTGCTGTTTGCTAATTACCTCACTTCTCTACCAGTGCAGCTGTAAGTAGAGTAGAATGCTACACTAAATCTTAAGATTCAGAGCTAGAAGGGACCTTCGATATCTTTAGCCACATCCTGACCCCCCTCCCATTTTTTTTAGATGAGAAAATCTCAGGCCTAAAGCATTTAAATGTTACCCAAAGTAGCAGAGTAAGAAATCTAAGATTTTCCATTCATGTCCTCTGGATTAAAATCTGTTACTTTACTATACACAAAGATGCAGTTCATGTAGATGAAGTCTTATGTGCCACCACAACCCCCTCCCCAGACTGCCAAAGAGCCCTGAGAATAGCAGTGCCCCTTCCCAAACCACTGACCCCGCTTCCAGACCTTCCTCCACAGCCATCACGTCACCACCGACACTTACTGCTGACCAACCACCACCAATGGACACAGATAAGCCCAGGAGCTCCAGGCAACTGACCTTGTTTTTTAGCCTAGCAGCCCTCATCCAAGGAATCAAGCCCTGTGGAGAAAGAGCCAGCCATCTGGAACACCTGCCAAGCAACCACCGACCGGGAAGGCAAGCCAACCTTTCTGAAGCAGCAAGTCACTCTGAACAAGAGACAGGTGGTAGCATGTACAAGTCAAGTCAAGCCAATGCTGCTGTCTGGATTGCCACCTCCCACTACTGACCAGCTGCTACCAATCCGCAGGGCTGTGGCCCCTGTGTCCTCAGCAGCCACAGGTACTGAAAGTCCTCAAAAGAAAGTTCTCAGCCCCAAGGTCCTTGGGACTGCCAAATAGTTAAGCATTAGAAACAGATATGGTTTTGTCAATGGGAATGTTGTTAAAGAATATGCATTACCTTCTGCTTTGCTGCTGCACCCCAAGAACTATGGGATCCAACTTCTGGCTAAAATCTCTTATGTGTATTGTCTCCTCAATTAGAATAGGAGTTCCTTCGGAGCAGGAACTGTCTCACCTTTTCCATTTGTTTCCCTAGTCCTTTGCACTTGGTAAACACATGCATGCTTTTTCATTCATTCATTAAATACAATAAATATTTCCAAAGTACCTGCTATCTACATGGTACATACAAAGATCAAATAAAACATAGTTCCCAACCTCAAGAAGTTATAATCTAGTACGAGTGATAAGATGCTCACACAGGTGATATAATACAAAGTAAAAGATAAGTACATGAGAAGTTTGAAGAAAATGCAATGAGAATTGATAGGAAGAAGAGATCCAGCTGGGCCTGGGTGGGGTGCATTGAGGAAGGCTTCCTGGTGTAGGTATTATTTAAGCTGGGTAGAATTTCAATAGCTAAAGAAGAGGAGAAGGTCACTGAAGGTAAAGGATATAATATATATACAATGCCATATACAGAAGCACTAATATTGGAAAGCAAAGGAAACAGTGACCCAGTTTGGCTAACGCATTGAATACATCAGGGGGAATAATGTCATCTAAGACTGGGAAGGTAGATTAGTAATATATTCTAAAAGACTTTGAAAACCAGATTAAGAAGTTTGGACTTTATTTAGTCAACAATGAGGAGCTGTATTAGATTTTTGAGTAGGAAAATCACATGACAGGACTTTCATATGAGGACGATTAATTTGGTAACATGATGATTAATCTAGTCCAGCAGACTAATAGAAAGACCAGTTAGAAAGCTATTACAATAAGTGAACAATAACTGGAAACAAAATGGATACCCACAGATTTGGGAACTGGTCAAACAAATTGTGGTTAATGAAATATTATTGTTCCATAATTAATTATAAATATGAAGAATATAAAAGTATGGGAGAACATATATGAATGGATACAAAATGAAATAAGCAGAACTTCACAATTGTTATTACTAGAGAGTTAATAGAAAAACAACAACAAATCAAAACTTAATGCTGTGTGATTATTATATTATTATAATGCTGTGCTGTGTGAAAAGTTTGTCACCAAAGAAGAGATAAGAGAATGTACCTCCCTCCCTTTTTTGCAGAGGTGAGAGACTCTAAGTTTGGAACACTATAAAAAAAAAGTCAGATTTGGTTGAAGTTGGTTAGTTTTTCTGAACTGGTTTTTTTTTCTCTTTTTTATATTTAGTTATAAGCAATTTTTTTGTTATAAGCTTCTCTAAGTAGAAGAGTAGGAGATGTATATATTGGGAAATAAGGTGATGTAGAAACAAACGTTACCAATAAAACTTTAAAAGGAAGTTAACTAAATAGTCCAAGTGACATATAGAGAAAGTCTGAACTAGAGTGATGGCTATGGAAATGGAAAGCAGGAAGAGGATACAAGAGATACTGAAATTGAGAAGATTTGCCTAATAATTAGATATAGAGTACAACAAAGGAGAAGGAGTCAAATATGACTTCTAAGGTGAGGAGCAGGTATACATAGAAGAATGGTGATACTAATACAAATAGAAAAGTGAGGAAAATGAGTGTGTGGAATGATGAAGAGCGTTTGACTTTGCTTTAGCATAAGATAACTGGCTTGTGTGTGTGTGTGTGTAAATATGTATAATGTAAGCATATTTTATGTTACGTATAGTATAATAGCATATTATATGTGTAACATATATAATTATAGCATATTATTATTAATGTAATACTATATATACAATATGGTGGCATAGCATACAGTGCAAGGCCTGGAGTCAGGAAGAATCATCTTCCTAAGTTCAAACTAGCTGTGTGACCCTGGGCAAGTCACTTAACCCTGTTTGCCTCAGTTTCTTCAAATGTAAAATGAGCTGGAAAAGGAAATGGAAAATCACTCCAGTATCTTTGCCAAGAAAACCCCAAACAGAGGGTGGATGGGGAGGGAGAAAGGGAGAAGATTTGGAACCCAAAGTTTTAAAAATACATATTTTTTTTAAAAAAATGTTTTCACATGCAACTGAGAAATAAGAAGTACAGAAATCTATCCTGCCCTGCAGGAAAGCAGAAGGGGAAGGTGATAAGAGAAGGGGGGGAGAGATAGAAGGGAAGGAAGACTAGGGGAAGGGATATTCAGAATGCATGCCATCTTGGAGTGGGGGGAAGGGCAAGAAAGGGTGAAAATTTGGAACTCAAAATCTTGTGGAAGTAAATGTTGAAAACTAAAAATAAATTAATTTAAAAAAAATAAAATAAATTTGTTCAGTACAGGGCAGTGGGAAAGAAATAATAAATGCTTCTATAAATAAAAAAACCAAGCAAATGAATGAATGAATGTATAAAAAAAGTAAATGAACAAATAAAATGAAAAATAAAGCACTGACAGCCATCCACAATAAAAAAAGAAAAAAGGAATGGCGTTTATCCACAATGCTATTTTGTTTTTAGGCAATTGAGATTAAGTGACTTGCCCAGGGTCATATAGCTAGTAAGTGTCAAGTGTTTGATCTGAGGTCACATTTGAACTTGGGTTCTCCTGACTTCAGGGCCAGTGCTCTTTCCACTGGGCCACCTAGCTGCCCCTCCACAATGCTATTTGTCCGAAGTTTACAACAATCTTCAAGGCCAAGTTTTTCTTTGCATTTTCCTTACCTTCCTACAAACTCCCCTCACCATTGAGGTTTCCATCAATTACCTATTTCAGAGCATATGAGTTTTCACTTTCAGTAAACCCAAAATCCATTATGCTTAAGAAATTGCATTATGAAGTACACTAGTGAATACAGAAATGAGAGCTGAACTAGGTTGGTAGGACAGGGGTTATAGACAGACTAATGATAAGAATGGCCCAGTGATAAGTTCAAATTGGGTAGACAAAGTAGAATTTGTCTCTGTTAATGAATCTTCCCTTCTTCCCACACACTGGAAATATTTTCTAATTTTTTTGTTCCCCTGCAGCTATTAGCGTGGCTGGCTCAGTTGAATAGAGATAAGGGCAGTAGACGGAAGAATAATTTGCCAGGATTTTTGTGTCTGGTGTCATAGAAGAGATTCATCATCATCTCCAAAAGAGCATGAATCATAAGAAAACAAGTCTGCTTGTAGCAGCTGGGTAAAAATCCTCAGGATTATATTGACCTGTAACAGGCACAACTTCCTTTGAATGCATGGATTTGATCCAAAGACAAGAAGAGTATTTTTTTTTAAAAAAGGGATATTTCCATCTTTTTCTTTTGGTATTTTATATGTTTTTAATTAATTTATTTATTTTGGGTTGGTTTTTTAAATTAATTTATTTTGATTTATCAACAATCACTTCCATAAGCTTTTGAGTTTTAAATTTTTCTCCCCTTCCTTCCCCACTTCCCTCTCCAAAAGGGCACGCAATCTGACATAGGCTATACATACATACATTCCTATTAAACATGTTAAACACATTAGTGATGTTATAAGTAAGAATTAGAACTAATAGGAGGAAGCACCAGAAAGAAGAAACAAAACACAACAGAAGAAAAAAAATAGAAAATAGTATACTTCAATCT